TGTGTGGTGCCAGCTCAGCCCACCAGGGGGCGCGGCTGGCTGGCATGTGGTGCTGGGGGATTGAACTGCGGTCCCTGTGCTTTGCTAAGCTTGTTCCAAGTAGGTGCTTTAGACCACTGAGCCATCTCGCCAGCCCCTCTTTATCCTGTTTCTTAAGTTCAAATCCCTACTAATCCCAGACAAATTGTAGGTCTTCATGAATCCATACCTTTTAAAACCATAAAAGAATTGAAACAAGCTGTTGCTACTATGGCCCTACTGCTCCCCTTACCCTGAGTGTAACAGAAATGCTAGGAGAACAGACTATGGCCCCAAATGATTGGAAAGGAATAGTTAAAGCATGTTTGAATCCAGGAGACTACTGTGGAAAGGAAATTTCTTAAATATTGCATGGAAAAGGCAGCTGGAAATGTGGTTCACAATTTAACCCCTAGAAAAGATAATGCTAATGGAGGATGGTGCTTTTTGCTAGCACAACTGACCTTTACACTGCAACTATGTGAGCAAGCTTAGATTTAGGGCCTGAAGGGAAGCCTGTTAAGAGTGAAACATTCTTTAACTTGGCTTCTATTAGGCAAGGCCCTAAGGAATCTTTCCAAGATTTTGCTGCAGGTTTGTTGCTAGCTACTGAGTAGATTATCAGTGACAGGGAAGCTAGTGAATTAATAGTTCAACAATTGACCTTTGAAAATGCAACAAAATGGTATAAAAAGGCTTTAAGAGACCATAAACAGCGAGTTATGCTGCCCGAGATGATTCGGATTTGTGCGAATATTGGCCCCTCATGCATACTGGAAGCTGCCTTGGCAGAAGCTATTACTCAGGTTATTCACCCACAGTCTAAAAAAAGGAAAGGTAAAGTAAGGTCCTTTGTTTCCATTATGGGGGTGAGGGATATTTAGCCCCAAACCATTCTGGTGCACCAAAGACAATACAGCTTTTATCTGTGTCTTCAATAGAATCTTCCAGTCCCTGTACTAGATGTAGATGAGGAAACCATTGGGCGAGTGACTGTAGATTCAACTGATATGGAAGGCCAACCCATTCAGGGAAATTTCCAACGGGGCCCACCTCAGCCCCTCAAACAATGAGGGTGCTTTCCCCTCCCTCGCCACAAGTGTCTTTGATCTCTGGGGAGCAACAATCCATAGTGGAGGTTTGAGCCTCACTTCCTCCTCCAGATTCCTATTAACTCCTGACATGGGGCCCCAAATTATTCCTACTGGAGTCTATGGAAATCTTGCTAGGCCACATCAGTCTCATTTTAAAAGATCTCCAGGTTTTGCCTGGTGTAACTGATGCTGATTATACCAGAAAAATCACAAGTATTATTCAAGCTACCCAAGCCATTGCTAAAATCACTCCAGGTATTCCCGTTGCTCAATTGGCCATTTTTCCCTTGGAAAAAAGTGGAATTATTTATAAAGAAGGAAAAGCAATTCAAGGTTTTGGGCCTCCTGATACTTACTATGTTCAGCAGACTAAACAAAATTGCCCAGAGATGGAGTTGACTATTGAAGGAAAAGCATAAATTATTGCTCAGAATCAATGGCTGGTGGCATGGTCTCTGGATGTGGCCACTATAGACTTACTAGGGGTGGGCAAGGTTTCTTTACCCTAGCAGAAGGGCTAAGTTGCTATGTTGGAGGGATGCCGAAAGCCTTTCTGGATAGTTTTCTCCTTATGTCCTCCCCCATATACTGGTCAATCTATGGGGTCTTGACACATTACAGGGCATGGGAGCATTTTGGGCCAGTCCTAACTCCCTGGTGACTCATCAGATGTAACAAGGTTTCCATCCCCATCAAGGGCTTGGTAAAAATTCTCAAGGGAGAAAAGAACCTCTTTTAGTTATTCCTAAAAAGGACTATTCTGGCATAGGCCACTTTTAGAAGCATTGATCTCTTTACCAACCCCATGGATGGCATCCAAGATAACCTGGATGTCTGATGACCCTGTTTGGGTTGATCAGTGACCCCTAACTCAGGAGAAGAGTATAGCAACTCATACACTGGTTAATGAACAGCTGATGGCAGGGCACCTAGAACATTCCAAAAGCCCTTAGAATACCCCAACGTTTGTAATAATAATAATAATTTTAAAAAGGGATCAGGAAAGTGGAGATTGCTGTAGGACTTGTGGGCAGTCTGTCACACCATGGAACTTATGGAAGCACTACAAGGATTGCACAGTCCTGTAGCTATTCATTTACATTTTCCCTTATGGTGATGAATTTAAAAGATTATTTTCTATCTCTCTTTACCCTAAAGAAAAAGTTTTTGCTTTTAGTTTACCCTATATTGATAGTCAGGCCCCTATGCACTGTTTTCAGTGGTGTTGTCTATCACAAGATATGGGGAATAGTCAAGTTTTTAGGGAAAAAAAAAAAAAGAAAAAGAGTTTGTGCCAAGAGTTTGTGGCTACAGCCATTATATCAGTGCGACAGGCCTACCCATCTGCATACATTATCTATTACATGGATGACATTCTTTTGGCACATGAATCCCCATCCATTTTACACTGTATGTTTATCCAATTAGATGATGCTCTCCACAGTGCAGGTCTAGTGATAGCCCCTACAAACTGTGGCATCATTTTCTTATTTGGGACACCTTATTCAACAAAGGCAAACTGTGCCCTAAACTGTTCAGATCCAGGTTAGGCATCTTGCAACCCTAAAGGATTTTCAGATTCTACTTGGTGACATTAATTGGCTCCGCCTAGCTCTTAAGCTAACTACTCAAGAGTTAAGTCCTCTCTTTGACATTCTCAAGGGAGACTCCGCCCTTACTTCTAAAAGAACACTTACACCAGAGGCTAAGCCTGCCTTGGATAAAGTTAATTAGACTCTTTCTAATGCTCAGCTCTCTAGAGTTGACCCATCTTTGCCAAAGTTTTTAATTATTTTCCCAACTCAGTATATGCCACTGGGGTTCTTTGGCAGTCACAGGGTCCCTTATAATGGCCACACATGCCATAGTCCACATAAAACTTACTCCCTCAGATGCTACTCAATAAGCTTCTGTATCTTATGCCACTTTTAATCAAAATGTTTCTGCTTTATGCAGATAGTTTCATTTCACTTGAAGTGCTACCTTCTAAAAGTTTTGTATAACTTTTCATATTTCCCTTATTACAGGGATTCCTTATAACCCTCAA